AAACAATATATAAAGTTATACTATTAGAATCAATATAAGATAAAGACTAGTATAAAATAAATATAGATAAAGTATAAGACGTTTTAATAATTTCTTTAGAATGTCTTTCTAAAATCATAATATATATGAAAATTCTTCGCTTCGAACCAATAGTCGATTCGATGTCGATCTCAAACAGGCAAGGAATCACATTCGACTTTCGAGGAAGAAAAACAGGATTAAGAAATTGTATCGAAAAGAATCGATCTTATTTGTAGTCATCAAGCAGAAGACTTGTTGGACCGCAAATATAATCGTGAGTGCGCCGCAGATAAACAATTCGATGGTTTACCTACTAGACCAGGTGTGAGTGGCCATGCCAGAGGATACACACATTGAGGAGATTGTAAGGCCTACAAACGATTCTGGACTTCAAATATCTAAATCTTTAAGGCGGTTCTCAGAGCCGAAATTGGGACTAGACTGGGATTTGTGCGATGGAATGAGGAGAATGTAAGTCGGAGTATAATATATGGGCATATTGAAAGGGAAGTTAAGAATGAGGTCTACTCCTTATTATGACGTATTGGTTAATATCAAACATGAGCTTCACATTATTCATTGTAAGGTTTCTGTACGATAGTAGAATTTGGTGATACTTACTTATACTTATACCTACGATCATACAACAGATAACCATCTATATCTCAAACCTTCTCAAAAGAACGGCTGATGTCCCAAATCTAAGCTGAGCGACAGCCGCAACCGCCGCGTTGTAATAACTCAAAACTACTTATGATGAGAGCGCTACGCAGACAGTTGGTAACCAAAGCACATAACATTTGCCGATACACTCGACATACTTTTAGATTTGATGCATGACAACAATGTTCTAAACATATCGATATATGATTGAGGTACAGAGTGAAATACTGAAGCGGTAATTCTTTTCTCCACGCCTTTTTGTGAATTATTTACATGATGTTTAAGGAACCAACATGTAGGTGCTACGCCTTACGGATGCATCCTTCCTCTGTATATAATTTATAGATGCTAGTCTGTAAATTTTACAACATTTTTCAAGCATGAATCAGCAATAAACACAACGGTTTAATTGAGAAGTTCTAAGATAGTAAGCATCTCACCTTGAGATGTTCTTCAGAGCCCCTTTGAACGCTGCTCTAAAACATGAGTCCAGGTTGCGTTTCAGGATAAGGAGAATTGCTAAATTAGATGAGATTCTTCCCATCGAAATAAGTATAACTCATTGCATCAAGATCGACGTTTTTGAAGTTTCGTACCTGTTCAGTGTTAGTCCATGAATGATACTCCTTCGATTGATATTTTGTTCCATCCTGTAAGTTGAGGAGTCGGCCCTCTATCCATTGCATTTTTCGATAATCGACATTGAAAATTCCAGAAGCACTGGCTTCCAAAATATCCACGTGCTATGCAGATTTGGATATTTTCTAATGCAGAATCCAAAAATTCACGAGAAAATGAACTCACATTGATGCCCACCATATCCTTTCTAGGATCCGTTTCCCCAAACGTCTCTGGTCGACGCAGATCAATCATAATACTACTCCCGCAAGTTTTGCAGAACCTATGATCTGCAACTTTATGACCCCATTTATAAGATCCCATCTTTTCCTCCGAATCTAGTGCTTGGTTAGATATTTATCTAAATTGCAAGAATGGGGGAGGAAAGAAACTCAATCTTACCACCTAAGAATTTAACATCTTGTCTCATGGGATAAACTAATAAATATCCGTTACGAGTACAGATCGAACAAGTACATGAATTAACGGTGTATTTGGGAAATGGCCATTTGAGTGTTACAGTGAACTGGCGTGGCGTTAGTCAGGGGCTTTTCGTCACACGAGTTTTACACAATTCCGTGTAGTATACATTGTTGAAAAGAGGAAAGTACTAACAGCAATGGCACCACAATGACAATTCCCCTCATGCGTAGTTCTTTCCTCATCCGAAGTCTCCTCAACCTGTCCAAAGAATTCCGGCGAAAAAGGTTTATATGTACGGGTTACGACTTTGGGTTCTGACTGCGCTTGAGGTAACATAATGAAGTAGAATGATTGACCGAATTTTCAATTAACGAAATAGATCTCTATATATAAGAACACTCAAGAATGGGCCAGGAGATATATAAGGAGTCTTTTGTATGAACGTTGATGGATAATTGACAAATTAAAGAGGAGAGTGGAGTATATATATCACTTCGTTTACAGCTCTGCGTGCCACGGCTTATGTGAAGTGGGGAATTGCTAAGAGATTCGCGCTTCGAATGCCTCTTTTCCCCGAAAGATTATCTTGCTTTCAAACCATGTATACTACCGAGGCCGATAACGCGCATTTGAATAATACACTAAAAATACATTTTCGTTTAAGCTAAAACTGTATTTAGAATTTAGTAGTGTGTATTTAAGAGTAAGAATTATTCAATTCAGTATACAACCTTAAAGGAATTGATAAAATGAAATAAAATGAAATATATTTATTAATTAGAATTCAAGGAATCAATTGATATAATTATTTTTGAATTATTTGAGAAATTGAAATTTATATCGAATTTAAAAGTATTTGAAGAATAAGAAACTGAATATTTCAATTTAATCTTCAATCTTTTATTCTTCAAATATTATTAAATTTGATATAAATTTCAATTTTTGAGATAATTCAAAAGTAATTATATCAATCGATTTCTTAAATTCTAATTAATAACCATGCTTTTTTTATTTTATTTTATTAATTTTTTTTAAGGTTGTGTATTGAATTGAATAGTTTTTTTTTTATTGATGATATTGTTTAAGGTTTAATTAGTCATCAATTTATGTAAGGTGTGATTAGTCATCAAGTTTTAGTAATATTTGAGATGTTTATATAAAACAAATTATTGATTAGAATCATATTAAATTCGATAGAAATTCTAATTTTTGAGATAATTCAAAAGTAATTATATTAATCGATTCTTTAAGCTCTAATTAATAATTGTGTTTCTTTTTCTTTTATTTTATAAATTCCTTTAGGGTTGTGTATTAAATTGAATTCTTTTTTTTAATATTATAGAAGCTATCTAAAGCTATATTAGTTATATGATTTAAGCGAGATAAGCTTGAGCTTTTCGAGAGCTCGAGCTTTAGATAAGAATTTTTATTAAGCTTCTTTTGCTTATTCTAGAGTGGTCTATGTATTATAAAGAAAACTATTTGAAGATAGATTTTAAATATTAATATACTTCTTATAGAAATTTCCGAAATAGATTTTAAAATCAAATAAATAAAGCTAACTTTAAGGGCTATTCAGTAATATAATTTTCTTTTTAAAAAGTTTTCAATAAGATTGATTTCTATCATATAGAATAAGATTTCTAAAAACACATTATATAGATTCTATAATTTCTTTTTTCACTAGGCAAAAATCTATTTTTAGTGTATTGTTCAAATGCGCGTTATCGGCCTCGGTAATACGTAAAATCGAGACTATCATTGTACTCGGGAGTTGTAAGTTGTCTCGCGACCTCGAGAAAAAGCCGGATACCAACCCTGCAAAAATAAAAAAGAATCTAGAAATAATCTTTTTCAAAATTCAATATAAATTTCTCTATATTTTATATTATTTTGAAAACTGAAGTTTTAGAATCTTTTTTTGATAAATTATTAATATATATAATTTCAATCAAAAAATTGAATCTATTATTTTGATATTGAATTTTGATTAAGGTATAGAATTTTAGTATCCGGCTTTTTCTCAAGATTGCGAGGTTGTACAGTATCCCCTAGACCGCCAATTCAGGACTCCTCGCGTATACAGGGTTATACTGACCAATCAAATTGTTAGGATTTAAAGAGATCTCATTATTTTGAAATGTTTTTTTATAATAAATATCAACTAATTATAATTATAATAAAAATAAATAATACATTCATTATATTTCTATATAATCTTATATATATCTTTAACTTTTGAATAAATATTGAATTTTTGATTTGATATCTTATTATTATTATAAATTATTTATAAATCATATCTAAAATTCTCTTTTTTTGAAAAACAAATATAATAATATTCATAAAAGTTTTTATCGTAGGTCATAAGCAGGTATATGAGTATAGAGTATATATAGAATATAAGAGGGATTAGACTAATATTAGTCTATTATAAGAAGCTGGCTCAATTTAACAACTAAAAAGCAATAGTAACACATGATATTTAGGAATTTGTATTATAGTATTGAATTTCTTATCCTATATTAAGAGGGAAAAAGCCCATATTATATACCTTTTCCATTCTAACCTAGCTTTCCGCTTTCGTTTATCTCTTGTAGATCTCTTCCTAATCCGGCCATTCCTTCGAAATAAAGCTCCTTTTCTTATTCTTTATTAATGATCGTTTTCGGAATCTAATAATAGTCGTTTTCGAAAGCTAAATACGATCGTTTTCGTATGGTCGCTTTCGGAAGCTTATAAGCGACGATCACGTGATTGGTCATGTGATCCTGTGAATCGCTTTTAGTATAGTATATGAATATAGAACTGTATATATATATATATATATATATATATATATATAAAGATGTATTATTATTTATATATAAAAACAATAGTCCCCTTTAATATATATCGTCTTTATATAATATATATATATATATATATACATATAAATATTAATCTCATTAAAAACCTTTTTGTAGGAAAAGAGTACTAATATCTTATATATATATTAGTCTCATTAAAAACCTACTTATAGAAAAAGAGTATTAATATTTTTATATAAATTATAATATTTTTAGTAATTATTATAATTTTGAATCATATCAATAAACCTTGATAATTTGATTCTTTCTAATAGTTTAGTTAAATCATCGGCTAATTGGTTTTCGGTCGAAATCCAAATTAGATTTAAATACCCTTTATTTATAAGATCTCTTATATAATAATATTTAATATCAATATGTTTATTTTTATCGTGATATATAGGATTTTCAGATATAGCTTTAGCTGATATATTATCTGTATATAATGGGAATTTCTTTTATTTATATTAATTTAATTTCTATAAAATATGTTTTAAATATATAGCTTTTCTAACAACTAAATTTATGGAAATTAGCTTGGATTCTGTTATATTTTGGGCTACAACAGATTGCAATTTAGTTCTCTAACTTATTAGTCCATTAGCGAATAAAAATATATATCCACTAATAGATTTAGTAGAGCTTTTATTTTCTATATAATCCGTATTACAATATCCTTTTATATAGTTTTTATAATCCTTTTTATATATCGTTTTTAAGATTTTAGTCCCCTTTAAATACCTAAATATTCTCTTTATAGTTATTAAATAATCTTTATTAGGATTAAATATATATCTTACTAATTTTAATATAGAATAAGTAATATTCCATTTAATTCCTAGAGCTAAATAGAGTAGTTTCTCTATTGCTTTTCGAGCCCATTTTATTTTGTTTAAATCAACCTTATTTGAATTTATTTTTATATTATTTTTAGCAACCATAGATATGGCTACAGGGGTATAATCTTCTAGTTTTAGGTTTTTTAAATATTTATTTATATATTCTTTTTGATATAATTCAATAGAATCTTTATTTAGATTTATTTGAATATTTAAATAATTTTTTATTGGATTTAAATCTTTTAGATCTAAATAGTTTTTAAGATTTTTTATAAAATCCTTGATTAGAATCTTGTTAGAGTTTATAATAGTAATATTATTGATAAACATATTCAATATTAATCCCAAATATTTATTTATAAATATATATTCATTTGATTTTATATTAATAAAATTTAATTTATTCAATATGCTTTTTAATGTAATATATTATATTCTAGCAGACTGTTTTAATCTATATAGAGCTTTATTTAGCTTTAATATTATATCTTTATCTTAATATATTTCAGGGGCTTTGATATATATATTTTTATTAATATCTCCCTGTACAAAAGCTAATATTATGTCTATTTTATATATATACCACCCTTTATTTATAGCTAGTACAAATATCAATTTCCAGACCATTTGCTTTATCACACTAGCAAAAGTATTTAAATAATCTAACCCATATAATTGTTCAAATCCTCTAGCTATGTATTTAGCTTTAAATTCAATATTATCATTAAATAAATATTTAATTTCATATATTCATTTAGTTTTTAATATATTTAATTCTTTAATATTATTATTATTCTTTTTTAGAGTTTTTATTTCATAATTCATAGCTTTTTCTAATTTTCTTTTTAATCAGAATTTATAACTTGTGAATATATTTCAGGAGTTATTAGATTTTTATTATAAGGCCTTTTTATTATTACTTTTTCATTAGTTTTTATATTGAAATATAATAATATATTCTTTTTATATTAATCGTTACTAATATTATTTAATTTAAATTTATAATCTTGATTTTCTAGCTTTATATATTGCAAATAAACGAGATTATATATATCTAATTGTAGTTCTACCCTTTATATATATTTGGATTATCTAATAGGGATAGGCAAATTAGAATTAAATGGAATTTCAATTATTAATCTGCTTTTATTAATATTAGAACTATTTGAATCAAAATTTTTATTTAAATCTTTATATATATTATTATATATATCTATCTCTTCTTTTTAATCTTTAATATTATTAGGGTTTTTATTAAATTCTTCTAATAGATCCTTTTTAATAAGATTATTTTTAATATTATTATTATAATATAGTATATCTTCTTTTATAATAAAATCACTAGAACTTATTATCTTATTTCTATTAGATATATAAAATAATAAATTCTTTGATGATTCAAATCCTATTAAAATTCCTTTTTCTGATTTATAATTAAATTTATAATCTCTCTTTTTTTTATGTTTTAATATATGTAAGAGATTCTAGAATTTTAATATAATTTATATTAGGTTTTTTATTATATAATAATTTAAAGGGTGAATTATTTATAGTTCTATTATAGTATCTGTTTTTAATATAAACTATATCTTTTAATATATTAGACCATAAAAGTATTAGTAGATTTTTATTTTTTATAAATATTAATATTCTTTCTACTAAATATCTATTTAATTTTTCGGTTATTTTATTTTAGGAATAATAATGAGGATTTATATATTCTAATATAATTTCTTTAGATTTAGTGAATAAATTCTATTGATTAGAATTA